AAAATTGTCTTTAAGTCAATCGTTTGCTATGGAAAGTGAAACCAGTGTTGAAATAATGAACTGGAAGAGTGTTTTTTGTGAATCAAATACTTCTATACAATGAATAGAGATTTGATTCTTTGAGCAGTAATTCACTTCAATTCTTCTATTCCGAGGCTTTGTTGACAACATCTGCTCTCTTCGGTAGGGAAACAGTCAATGATTTAGACTTTTATAGCATCACAGAAATGCCAATCAGTTAAACATTACTCGTATATTGAACACAACCAAAGTGTATAACAAAATGTTCATTATTTTCTCACTTTCAACAACACATACAAATAGTTGGTATTCTAGACAATTAAAAGGTTTATGTTGTTATTTGTTATGAATTTTGTTAAACAAATGCATAAATTTAAGAAAACTTTAAATTTAAATTTATTACAAATGTTTGCATCTTATTATTGTCATCACTTAAGTAAACAAATGTAATATAGCATAATATGATGTGAAACCAGATCATTTTTAAGTATAGATGAGAATTTGTGAATTTGTTAAATATTATGGTTTCAAACAGATTACAAGACATTATCTAATTAGACAAGAGATTAGAATGGATGGTGTCTTAACTTGCAATGAAACTAAAGTATATTATAATTTTTGCATAAAAATATTTCCTGCTTTAATATGTTTAAGAATTAGAGTTAATTAAAAACAGATAAGTATAATATTCCATAATTGGATCCCTTTAAAAAATGGCATACCGTTTATACACATTTTAATACTGTAGCATCAAGCTTAATTTCTTGATGCTGCACTGTAAACTTTAAACTTTACAGTGCAGTGCAGAATATCTTTACTATACCGATTATAATAGTTACAATTTACAATTGTTTAATTACATCAAATAATCTAATTTAGATGTTATGAGTTATTAATTAATTATAATAAATGAGTAATTTGCTATACGGTAAATGTTACCTTCAATTTTTAATAGAAATCCATAGAAGTTTAACAGTGAATATCACTGGAATTACTGAATACCATTGAAAAACTCAGTCAATAGCTTTATTCTATAAAATACGAGTTTCACAAATTAGCAAAATATAGTGTAATAACTTTTTATCAAATACTATGTAAATATAATGTAATGTAATTATAACGATTTACTGTATATAAAACCAAAACAGTAATTATAACCAGTCTTTATTTTATTTCATAAAATAGCTTTGATAACAAAATACATATTTAATATCATATAACTTAATATTAATACTTATATTATTAATAGAATAATTTTGATTTAAACTTTTCAAAAAATAATGTTATATGAATAATGAACTTGAAACCAAAAATCAAAATAAATAATAAATTTAATTGTAGTAATAAATAGATAATTAAATCTAATATTAAGTAATGAATACTAATATAGTTAACTAATTAATTAATTGTAAGAAATGATTGTTATATAAAATTAATTCAATTTAACTCAACGATCAAAACAACTAACTTTTGTTAAAACTATTTCGTTGTTCAGAATTATTCAGACTTAAGGGTCGGTTACGTCTTTGCGGACTTTGCTGTCCATCCGTATAATTCATTGAATTGTTGGCATTGGATGCGATGGACATCGAGTCGACAGCAGTGGACATACCGGACAGGGGTCGCGAAACGTCCAACTCTTTTGGCGAATATATCTTTGAGGAGAAGTCCTCGAAAGTGGTCTCCTCTTTGCAGTTCTTCACAATGGATTCAATGGATCGAAAGCGCTCTTCAAAGAAGTTGAGATAATACGGAATATGCATTCGTTTGGCTCGACTCGCGTTCAGAGCCGTCGCGCGCACTAAAGGCGCCAAAATGTCTTTGGGAACGACCGCTCCGTTAAATAGGGGACCAAAGAAGGGAACCTCGGATTTGCGCGAAATCTGTATGTAATATAGATTTTGATACGAAACCAAAGGGTAGATCACTATAAGGGCGTCGCAGAACTCGGTGGCAATGATGCCGCGCCTGTAATCTCTGTAGTGCTCCGACCATACGATATGTATCTCATCGTTGCCTAAATGTCTCATCTTTTTAGTCATCATCTGTTCGTCGTCTGGATTTGATATTCTGGTCGACACATGGAATATGACTTCCATAAGAGAATTGGCATAATATGGCGCCGATTTGCCGGTGCTTTTGTTCTGCTGTAGACCCCCTCTGAAACCCAAATGTGTTTCGAGATTGACTTCCCATCCCAGACCCGATACAAACTCTTCAAATGCTTTACTTCCGGTAGAGTTGGATAGAATGGACTCCTTGTCCTCCTGTCCTTTGGCCACATAAATGACAGCAATTTTATGTGTTTCGCGACAATTCTGATGATCCAGATTACGGATCTCTCGCACAAAGTTCTGGTTTTTACTCAACAAATCAATTCGATTGCGTTTCTCCCAAAACAAGAACCCCATCTGATCCACGAGTTGTCGACAGTGTTTGAACGCCGACTCCACTCTTGCCATCTGTGATGATATGGACGACGATTGGGAATCGCTCTCTGATTTAAGCGATAACTTTCTGGAAGAGCCCTCTTCGACATAACAACTCTCTTGGATGTGTTGGTTCATCAGTAATGCCATCATATCTGACGCCTCTTGAAGTAAATTCAATGAATTGGCGTTATTATCGCCAATAGTAATACATTCAGGACTTGTGTTCGTAATGTGTTGTATGAGTCCTTCCAAGTTATCCACTTTGGAGCCAACACTTTGCGATCTCTCGTCAAATTCATAGCTATCTCTATAGCTTTTGTTTCGCTTTTCTGTTTCTAAATCAGATGTAAACCATTTGTTGAAGAAATTGTGTTCAGTTTTGACGTTTGACTGAAATTGTTTGCAATCCAATGAAAACTTTCCCAAAAGGTTGCGAACAATGGCCCGAACGGGTGTTTTCGAGAGGGTTAGCGACAAATCGTTTTCTTTTCCATTAGTCTCTTCGGGTAATTCAGTGAATGATATAATACTTGAATTGTTGATTAAGAAAAACAATACGTTGGGAGCGTTAAGAACTTCGAGATCAAAGGTCTCTGTGTTTGAAAGCCTTAGATTGTCGTCGTTTTCATTGATAAGACAACTGAGACGGGCGGCGCCCAAACCCTGCTGTGGGAAGTGTCCGTAAAAGTTAATAAAATGTCCGATAATGAGATTAGCGGCCAAACGAATGGTATTCGCGTCGATATCCTCCTTAAGCTCAACATTCACTTGAGTCCTGTTGTCGTCGCCGGCGTTTATGACACGCTTTCGTGGCGAAGGGTTGGGACTAATACCAGATTCTGGAGAATTGTCCGCATGAATGGTGTAATCAATTTCCTGTTCAGTCGGTGTCGTCGGAGTCGAGAACTTCTTATTTTTCACGTCAGAGTTAGCTATCGTTGAAAAGCAGCGCAAAACTAAACTCATCATCGATTCCGACGTGTTTTCAGAAGTTGTCGTTCGCTCTAAAAATATTTTGGGAACCGATAGACACCAGTCGGCCAAACAAAACATTATTGTCAACAAAATCTGTAAACAAATATATAGTTAAACACTTTTGAAGACTTGAGGCAAATTAGACTGAATTTACATTTTTGTATTCTTTAAACATATTCTGGTTCTGAACCAAAGAGAAGTGACTCATAAGAGTAGAACACAAGCCTTCGATTATCTTCTTTGATATCTCCGGATGACTGTCCAGAAGGTAAGTCGAGTGATCGGTTTGGAGGCGCAACATATCACACGCCACACGACATAAGACACGATTATTAAACTGTAAATTCAATGTTAGATCATGTAATCATTACCACAATTGTTCACAACATACTGTATATAATCATAATAATAATACAAATAATAATAATCATAATAATAAACCAAAAAATCAAAAGAAATGCAAACCTTCGAAGGGTTAGAGTTATCGGAATTAGTAATTAATTTGGGAACTTTGAGAGAAACCTGGGTTTTAATTATTTAGAAAATAAAAGTCAAACAATAAATGCATGCATTAATGTGAATAAATATAGTCAACTAAGGGGATAATTCATACGCGAGTGCCGGCGATCAACACATTTGTAATTTCTCTGAGTCGCGGGTGATTCGTACGGTTATAGAGCTCTTGGTATAGGAATAGCCCTAAACTGCTCAGTGCTATGGAACGACCCAAACCTGTCTGTTCTCTTTTACTTGAATTCAGCAAAATATCCAAAACGTGATCCTAAACCATATAACAATTGGTTATTATATAATGACCAAAACATGTCATTTTACACAATCAAGTTAAGTTTTAGACATTCAAAGTCTGAATTTCAAATACCTTTGAATCTTTATAAGACATGAGACACGGCTGAGTTGTTTGCGACTTAAGTACCAATACATTACTAAAGACATTGTTAAAACCAATGAGTGATCCCAAGAGGTGTAGTGCCTCTCCGCGGGGTAACTATCATTTGAATTAGACATTTGATTATTACGGTATAATAGTTAGAAATACTAATCATTTACTTTATTTTCCTGCGACGAGACAATAGAATTGGCGGCGTTTATGAAGTCAAAGAGCAAACACGAAGATCCGGGTAAACCAATGGAAAAGAATTTGGGTCCGCAGTACTTGATTAAAGATTCGTACGGTTATAGAGCTCTTGGTATAGGAATAGCCCTAAACTGCTCAGTGCTATGGAACGACCCAAACCTGTCTGTTCTCTTTTACTTGAATTCAGCAAAATATCCAAAACGTGATCCTAAACCACATAACAATTGGTTATTATATAATGACCAAAACATGTCACTTTACACAATCAAGTTAAGTTTGAGACATTCAAAATCTGAATTTCAAATACCTTTGAATCTTTATAAGACATGAGACACGGCTGAGTTGTTTGCGACTTAAGTACCAATACATTACTGAAGACATTGTTAAAACCAATGAGTGATCCCAAGAGGTGTAGTGCCTCTCCGCGGGGTAACTATCATTTGAATTAGACATTTGATTATTACGGTATAATAGTTAGAAATAATAATCATTTACTTTATTTTCCTGCGACGAGACAATAGAATTGGCGGCGTTTATGAAGTCAAAGAGCAAACACGAAGATCCGGGTAAACCAATGGAAAAGAATTTGGGTCCGCAGTACTTGATTAAAGTACTCGTTATTTCCTATCGGTTTAAATCAACTCAATTAAACGTCAAAAGGCAATGGACAACAGATTCTAATACCATGTCATAGGATATCAATCCTTGTCTTAGGGTTAAGTAAAACAAAGACAAGAACTCTTTCGACGGTTGGTTCTCATTACGTCTGATGGCTATAATGCACAACAATTTGTAGGCCAAAAGTTTTCCCGCTTTGAACTCATTTGGCAATTGTGTGGCTTTGAAGAGCCATGAAGTGAAGTATTGGAGCGGAGGCTCTAACAAAGCATTGGGCACTTGATTCTCAAGAGAAACGCCTAAATTCTCTTTAACTTTGATTAAGTCTTCGACCACTTTTACCAGACATTCCATGGCCTGGGCGTGAATCTGAGGGTTCGTTAATTGGTTGATATCTCCCAACACACCCAACATTCTTCGCCATAATATGAAAGCACTTTCTGAAGTCCAGCCCTTATTTGTGCCGCCAATGAGGACACAATCGGTGATACTGTTATTGCACTGAAGACCAGATTCCAGATTCATTGGCGAGTCTTTTAGACTATTATTTTCAATTGCATTTGAATGTGTGGGCGAAGGACTCCGACTGACCGATGATTCCGACCAAATCGGAGACTCGTTTCGGTTATCGAAATATTCAAGAGATCGACATCTGTTCACTAAATCGGATCTGTTGTCAGATTTAAATTTAGTGCTCACAGAATGACCCTGGTTGCGATTCTGGATTTTATATGCATTCTCTTCAAACAAATAACTATCACTTCGACTTCGGACCACATTTGAGTGACTAATTTGATGGGATATGCATTTATTGGCATTTGTTGGCGAATCACCACTACTCGATCGGATCCGCTTCACAGGCTTTGGCTCATTGTTCTCATTAACAAACTTTTGCTCACTGTTTGCACCGTTTGAGTCGCTTTTGGTCTCGTGGCTCAGACCTCGCACCCGAAATCTGCGCTTATTTTTGTCTAATTGTCTTTCAAGCGGCAAATCGTGTAAATTAATGTTATATACGTATCGAGACATCACTCG